TGGTGTTATACTATTCCTTTTTCTTTATTAGTGTCCGCTGCAATGCATATCTGACATCTCTTTTCTATGTTTACGATATTTCCTACAACATCTGTCGTGAGTAAAAGTAGGCGTTCTGTCAGCAACCGCTCTACTCTAATTAGTAAATTATAAGAAGAAAGTAAATGCGACAGTTTCATTGCGGACTATGCCAATTTTAAACGTCCCAACGTAGTTAATAATTTGTAATATTTATCAAGTTTCACCTTTCCACTTCTGTACAGAATAAGTTTTTATCGTCACCGTCTGCATCCTTCTTTTATTGCCGCACCCGTCGTCTCCTGGGCAGAAACGGGGAGAGCACGTAGCTCTCACTTGACGTATCCTTTTCATTGTATTCCCGCATGTAAAAGGCCATTGCTCTCTCTGATCACGAGATAAGCTGATATGCAACAAGTTTAACTTTTGCAATCCAATTTTCCAAATGGATCACCTATGTATTCTCGTTTATGGAGACGTATCGATACGGTTGTATATGTCACGGAATTGTTCTTTTTTTTTAATTATGTCAATTTTTAAAGAGAATTATTTCGATTAGCGAAATGTTCTTTGTCCATCATTTCTATCTTGCCTCGCGTTTACTTCATTAAAGTTTTCCTATTTATAGCATCTAAAATAATGAGGCTATGATTAAATTTCTTTGTCATTATCCTTTAAATTTCCTTTAAGCTGTGTAAAAAGAAGTTAATTTAGAAACTCGGAAAAGGTTGTTAAAGGTGTGTTTGGAGCACGGCGCTGTACGGGTGCGAAATATGGACAGTGGGCGAGGCGGAAAAGAAAAGGTTAGAAGCGTTCGAAATGTAGTGTTACAGGCGAATGATAAGGATACCGTGGATAGAGAAGGTTAGAAATGAAGAGGTATTAGAAAGAATAGGAGAACAAAGAACTCTATGAAAGTCAATAAGAAATAGGCGAGATAGGTTGGTAGGAAACCTTCTCAGGCATGAAGGTCTAGTCAGTTACATATTAGAGGCAGAAACGGAAGTTAGGAGGGGTAAAGGTAGACCTAGATTAGATTACAGTTCGGAAATAGTTAAGGATAAGGGATGTTCTAGTTTTAGAAAAATGCGAAGATTAGCTGAGGATAGGAAAGAATGGAAATGCGTGTCCAACCAGTCTTAGGACTGACGACCTTATGATGATCAAGCTACGTATTTCAAGGTAGAACAGTATTGTGTAAAATGTAAATGTAATTGGATAATAGTTTAACCCATATCACTGAACGCAATACGTAAATCATTGTAATCTTTTCCCCGTATCTAGACCGTATATTCCTTCTATTATAGAGTCATCCAAATGGGGAAAGCATCGTGCGAATCAGATTAATAATTGATGTTATGTTTTGTGCAAGGATTATGAAAAATGATGTAAATTTACTAAAACACAGACTAAATATTTTTACTAATTCATATTGCGTGTTTTGTTTGTCCAAAACAAAAAAGATTTTAGATTGTCGAGTAAGTGCTTGATTGTTTACCTTTACTTATATCTTTTAGATCAGTGCATGTAAACCCTCTTACAGCATAAATACAGTAAGTAGCTGCATGCGAAGAAATAAATGGATTTAAATTGCATCAACTTGCATTAGAAGTACATTTTATTGATTTGTCATTAGGTACCTACTAAAACGATTTTTGTTTACTCAACCTTATATAACTGAATTCGTATTATTATATGTAAAATAAATTATTCATTTTAAACAAGTACACAATACATTCGTCTTGGGGTAGTTAGTATCTTTAAAAAGCAAGTAATGTATCGGCATTTATCAGTTTCCTTCTTATTGTTCGGCGAATTATTTGAAACGGTTATATAAGTACATGTATAATTTTGTAACAGTCGACAGTGTTGAATTTCCCATTTTATCGTTCTATTCCATGTGTTTAATACGATTCGGCGGCGTGTTGATCGCATAAAAATTTCCTAAGAATCCTAATTAGAGGTTGTAGGTTTTTGTTGTTGGTTGAAAAAACACTGTAAATCTTTTAGAGGGGCTATGTACAATATATACAATGCCTTCAATCAGCGTACAATAGGTGAAACCAAACAGTGAATAGAACATATAACAGTGAAAAAAATGTTGATTAAAACGAAACGCGCGGCTGTAACTTTCGTACTCTAGTCTTTGGTGCTGAAGGCGCGCTTCTTAAGGGTGGAAAGGTGGTGAGATAGAGAAAGACAGCCCAAAAGCATTAATAACGGGCAAGAGAAGAAAAGGCGAATAGTGGTCGAAAATACAGAAACTGCAGGTTAAGTCATAAGTAAAGGAAAAAACAAGGACAGATAGATAAAATGTACTTACAGAGAGACGATGAAATGGAAAGCTACCGTAATTTTTTACATATTATGAGAAAATTCGAAAAACTGTTTTTTACAGAGTGAGGTTGTTTCCCCTTTTATTAAAATTATAGAATGATTTCTTACGATTTTTTCCTACTAGAAAAGGTTTTAATATTACTATTCTAAGTGAAAACCAAACCTACCCTGAAAGAAGCATCACCATAGATAATTCTAATAAATAAAAAAGTTTCATAGCTTTCTAAATAATATTAAGTAGTATATACCCGAAAAATCAAAAGCTTACTATATTTTGGTTTAATTTAAATCTATACCTTGAAATGGCCAGGTGTATCATAAGTCTAATTGTACGTAGGAATTTTAATTACTTACAATGGTTCGTGCAATAGTCAACAAAGTATGTAATTAATCTGGGAGCAGTGTTTCAAATTAACTTTTAGTAGCCACTGGTGTGGCCGCTATGACGATATCATCAACATGAATATTAAGTTAATGACAAAGCATAAACGAAACCGTGCGAGCACTCTCCACCTTTGGCTGTAGCATTGAGGCGTCCGCAGTGGTTTTTTTGTCATTTGGCTAACATCTGTACTTTCCCGTCCGCCGTTGCTACTGTTTACTAATACATTTCATAAACGCAGCGCAACACGGGGATGTTACCAGCGCTTATTTGGAAACCTTTTTTTACATATAACAGGCAAAAATTCGAGTATTTAAACATCAAATGTAGGCTTGAGATCCGTCGTTCGAATGCAGTGGCATATTTGAAAAACACTAACGATTTTTCTGTTTTAATAAAATGCAAAAGAGAAACGTTTGAAAGGGAAAATTTATGAATAAAGGGAAAATGGAACTGTCGTGTTATCTAAATTGTGAATGACAGGCCCAACTAAATGTGCGATCAACGTTATTTTAATTTCAAAACAAAAGGGTTATTGTAGATACATTTAACAATTGTTATTCTCAATTGAATTTATCTACATTGAAATATCAACGCGTTTTTTGTTTTACTGAATACAACGGAGGAGAAGACAATCAGCATATTGATTATTATTTTTGTCTTTTATTTTCGAGGCTATTTGCTTTCGGATAATACTTGTCAAAATAAATAACCTATGTATAGGTCCACTCAAAAAGAATACTTTTAATTGTTAATGATCAATGTGCATACACATGTCTTCTAAAAAAAAAATTAAAATTATGTCAAGTCTCTTATCTCTTCCACAGTGGTTGACTCATTGTTGACTCTTTAACTACGCATCCCTTAGATAAATATATTGTTTTTCATTAATTTACTAGCTTTTCCCCGCGGCTTCGCTCGCAGAAATTAATATTGTTTCTCCATAAAACCTTTCAACTCTCAATTCACCCTTGCAACGTTTTAATTTTATATAATGTCGCCATCTTAGACTTCAAATACAAACGTAGCAACAACATTTCATCCTTAAGGGTTGATTTTTAAAAATTGCCAAAACACGTATCTACTTAATTTCAACAATGACCAACCTTCGAGTAAATCCGAGTACAAATAAAATATACCCCATGGAAACGTTGCAACCCCTTTTCATTTGATTAGTAATATCAAACAGCATGTATACCATGTTTCAAGTAAATTTAACCACAAATAAGGTATGTCCCAAACAAAAATTGCAACACCTTTCCCCAACGCTTTGGAGGTTGTATTTTTTAAAATGTCGAGATTAGTCTCTCAGAAGTTAAATGAGAGACCACTAAGACCAAATTTCAAGTAAATCTGACCACTAATAATATATGTTCCATTTAAACATTGCAACTCCTCTTCACCACTCCTCCCCCCCAACAGAGATTTAATTTTTGTTATACATATTTTAACAAATGAACGGCTAGACTGATGTTTTGACGTTTTATGTCAAGTTACACGGAACGGGATAGAAAAAAGTATCCTATGTTCGTCTCCTGGTTCTATGGTATCTCCCCACCAATTTTCAGCCAAATCGGTTCAGCCGTTTTTGAGTTATAAATAGCGTAACTAAAACGACTTTCTTTTCTTCAATATTAATTTTATAAGTTCGAAATTATACTTCGTTAACTTTCTGTAGCGATGTGACCCTATGCGCGCTGGCAAAATCGTAGCTAGAGAGAAAAAAAGCTCATTATAGTCTCGACTCTTGTTCATTAAACATACTTTTTCATACAGTATCTGCCAAAAGTTTTGTTCAATCATGATAGTAGTGCGAGTCGAAAACAAGCGTTAAAGCCTTTAATATGTCTTCAAATATAAATAAACATCTCGTTGATATTTTCAGTAGCAAATGGTACCAATAACAGCACATTTGAGCAATGCAATTGTAGTGTATAAAATGGTTAATTTTTCCGTGCAGTACTGTACGGATTGTACGCTCCTAACCGATTTAGAGTTTGGCCGAGAGTTGTCTCCTTCCTTTTCTGGCCTAGTGCTGTTCTTTTTTACCTTGCGCCGGTCAAACTGAAGGTCACATCGCTACAGAAAGTAAACGAAGTGTAACAAAGTATATTTTGGTAATAGATATACTTATCTATGTATATCCTTTCTGCTTTTAAAAATTATAACGCGTTTTATGTTATGCTAAATGCTGAAGGTTTATGGTCTTGGGATTGAGTACGGCATTAAAATGCTCGGATTTGCGGAAATGGGAAGTACTTACCTACAACTGTCATCCGATTATTTTCTGTCACTGTCTGAAAGTAAGGAGCTTCCCCTGAAACCTCGCATCTATACAATCCACTTGTTGATAGTTGTACGGAGGACAAGACGACTTGACTCTCTGAAGAATTGTGCATCTGCAACAATAATTTTTAGCTCAAAAAGAGGTCAATATTTGTTTTACCGTTATTACGGCCAAGGTCTCTTATACGAAAAGATAATTGGCTACCTACTTGCTCGCTTGCTAAGACTGTTATACATCAACAAGGAAATATGTAGAGATGAAAATCCTTTAAAGAAAAAGAAAACGCTTTTAAATGCTTCAAAAGTTTAAAGAGGTCTCACTTCTTTTTACTGTATTGAAAAGTATTTCATAATTATTTGTCTATTCGTTTCATGAACATTCCTTATTGATCAAATAATGTAAGAGAAATTTAATGTCTTTATTTTGCTGATTTTGGCCGAAACGTTTATGGCTTCAGTTAAGAATAAATTATTTAATGTTGCATTTATATAGTGGCATTACTTTCTAAGATTTTTCTCAGAATTAAATCAATTTCTTTTGTAATGGTTATTCTGCTCATATTATTGACAAAAAATTAAATTAAAAATTAAAAAACCATGTTTCTACCTTACTGAATATTTAATAGAAGTTCTCAGTGTCAATAACAATAATTTTTTAATTATTTTGTGCATAAATTCCTTCTTCAGAATAATATTCATGCAGAAAATGTTCGTCAGTCTCTTAAAAATGTTTAATTTATGAATCATTTGTAGTAATATGTAATTGAACACTCGGATAGGGCTATTTCATATCGTATTTTTGGACATTCTTCAGCCATTAAAAACAAAAAGGTAATTCTAGGGGAATAACTGACCACTGTATTTAACTAGGACTCTTTTTAGATATTAATAATAATTAAAAATTTTGCAATCGTCATAACGTTGACAGTACTAGGACTGGTGGGACACGCACCTCCACTTTTGCTATCCTGCGCACATCTTTAACTATTTGCGATCAGTATTCTAGGTTTACCCCTGCCCTTCTTAACTCTTATTTCTGCTTCTAATAATATGTCTCTAGCTAGCCCTTTACATGTGAGAAGGCGTCCAACCAAGCTATCTCATCTATTTCTTATTGATTTCCATAGCACCTTCAATTCTCCCACCTCCTTCTCATTCCTAATCTTTTCCACCCCGGTATCGTCATCATTCGCTTTATCTACATTTCAAACACTTATAACATTCTCATACCCGTACAAAGTCATGCTTTAGACATACATCCTTAAGAATCTTTTTCGAATTTTTAACCTATAATTGAAAATCTGGAAAATTTTTAAATGAAAGAAGTTCTACTTAATAAATTTAATTTAATCAATAATCAAATTAAACTGCCTAGTGGTATAAATAGTATGATTTAGCTTTAAATTTTAGTGTAGTCACCTGTAAATGACCAAATTGACCGAAGTGAATATGTTGAGGTCGGAAAAATAACACGTACCTGTTTATTTTCTCTCCTTTTGATTTACTTATATAATTATAACTTTATTGTTTTTCAAATTTTATAGATATAGATAGATATATAATTTAAACGTTTAGTGTGGGATCAGTAAATATGTAAGCAATAGATATACAGTCTATTTCAATTTGTTAGAATTGTGACCGTGAAGAAATCTGCGCGAAGATAGAAAGGTACTAGGCGTGAGCAAGACAGAAATAGTTGGAGCAAGCTTGAACGAGCAGAGCTGTCGAAGGGCGGTCTTAGGAGATCGGCTAAACTGTACAGTACTAGACGAAAATGTTTAGCAATTTCTTAAAACAAAAATATAAATTAACAATAAAACACAAAGCAAAAGTTTTATAGGTGTGTAGAAGGTTAAGTTAATTCTCTTGTTATTATTTTTGGCAAAATATGCTTTTAAATAAAGCATATTCATACATTTTAACGAGGCAGTTTAAATAATTTTGCAAATGGTACTGTACACTTTTATCTAGTGATCGGTGGCTCCGCAGACAAATATGATTGAATTTGGAATTATGCTACGGCGAATCCTAATAAAGGGAAGGGGAATATCTCCAACTTCTTGAAACAAATAGTACTCTCTTGTTTTTTCTAATTTTGATAAACTTGTATTTATTTTTGATTGTATGTATGGGAAATAGAATTCGAAATAATTGGTTAATACGTTTGCTAGAGAAGAGAATCATCCTTCAGAGAAAACATGCTTATTTACGTACACACAAATAATTTCAACTTGAGAGACACTTTGGTTCAGACTCCTACAACATTGCTTCGTTCTTCTCATTTAATTTTCAGTTGACACGTCGATTCTAATCGCGTATTGCCAACCAATGAATGTGAGCGAGCACAATCAAGAATTTGCTATTGTTTCCCCCGCGTATTTCCCCATCGCACCGCGATCCCTTATCTCCATAATCAAGTAAACAAGAACAAGCAATTTCTCTTCGAAGGTAAATGTGCCGTGGCACTAACTTCGATAATTAACTACCTTCTCCCATCGAACGTATTTTGCTTGCGATGCCGTCGCCGTTTCAAAGAAAAAGTGTGTTGTAGGCAGGCAGAGGACGGAGGAGGCGTAAGGGATGATTTCAAGGAAGGAACCCGAACCTATAGAAGTTATTTGCGATGGAACATTTTCGAACAAAAAGGAATTTCCGGTAAATTAAATTTTTCCGCCTCAAGATAAAGTGCATGGAATTTTCGACCAATGTTTGTTCGGCTCGATGCTTAAAAAACTAATTAAATAATAAAAAATTAAACTTTAAAAGGAAATTGAAATTAAAATTAACTACACTTTATAAAATCCTGTCGTTTCGATCATGCTGCGTACTAATTAATTGAATCATCATATTATTGAAAAACATGTAAGGATGTCTAGTAGGTACTGTATAAGATGATATTAGAATTATCCAGTGAAACAAGTTTTTAACCTCAAAGTCAATCTATATACGTATAAAGTGCGTAGGTATTATGCCTACTTAATAGCAACTAGGAGGTAGTGTTTGCATAGGTCGCAGGTATTACATGTGCCCTTTCGTCATATCTTGATGTTCACCTAACACGGCCTTATGGGCCCGAGATTAAGATAAGCTCAATCAGCGCATACGGCCGAAGCCACTTGTACCAGTTTCTCTTAAGAAGTAGACAAAAACCCCTAGAGTCCTCTGGTGTGAGCGAAATCTATCTCTAATTCCTACTGGGTTTGGTTGACTTGGTACCCGAGCAGATATACGCCGCTTACTCGTCTTCTTGCCCACTTCTCTCGCCCAGCACATAGGGTGTATCCACTGTCACTAATTATTATTCAACCTCAGACAACCGAGCAGGTAGGAAGCTTTCTCATTTGGAGCCCTCAGGTCTCCCGTGATGCCAGTCTCCATCACTGATCGGATGTTCGAAACAAATCCCCTTCCCAATAGAATTATTTGCATTCCGACACTGGTAAGCCATCTTGAGTTCATGGGATCGCCAACTTCTCCAGGTTCTTGACACTCATGTCAATAAATTCTTTTTGTGGGTTGGCAATGTTGTCAATTTGACGGATAGCGACATGTGCGTTTTATTATTCATCGATGTTTGTTTTATTGTAAATTCGAGTCAAGATTTTTTTTGCGAATTAATGCTGAATCAGGAGTAAATAAGCTAATGTCAATAAACTTTTTAGTATTGGTCAATATAGTGGTTCAATTTTATGTGATTTTAGTACCACTCATATTGATGTTCGTCAATAAATCATGTCAAATCTATAGGTTTCAGCTGCTCATTGTATAACGCGAAATATAATGAAAAAATTTAAGCTCGCGCGCGAGGAGATCGTTCTTGATAAAACCTAACCAGTTTAGATAGCAGTGGGGTCCCATTTTTTGATTTGCCCCAGGGCCCTTGGTTACCTAGCTACGCCACTGGTGTTACGTATTGATACAAACTCGCTGGAGTTAACACCTACTCTATACGTAAGGCTACAATTTAAAAATGTGTTCAATTACTTCCTAAATATTTGAATATTTTGATTTTTCACCGGTTTCGAACTTGAAGATCCCCTCGATCTTTACAGGGTACTGGGTTGTCTTGCGGCTCCCAATATAACCGTTGCAGTCTTTAAATGTAAAGGAGACTATGTTTATTTAAGCGTGCGGTACAAAAGGGGTTAATTAAAAATTGTCTGGAGAGCCATTGACAATATCATTGAAAGTGAAGAACAGCAAAATCATGAATAAAACAAGAGAAACTTGAAAGAAGAAAAAGAAGTAAAGTGGCTGAAGGAAAGCAGAGCAATTTAAAAAGTTGAAAGCCTGACGGGACGAACAATAAATTCTGTTAACTCTTTTCTTCTCCCATATCTAAGGAAATGAGCCTGGGAGCATCAACCCTCCCGAACTAAGTTTATAAGCAGCGGCCAGGGATGATACGGCTCAACTTACACGTATAATGACTTTTAATAAAAAAAGCGGCCAAGATTGCTTTACCTTTGTCTGGTATGTAATATCTAACGTAGAAAATATTACTACAAATTTTCAGAGCATGGGGTAAGGTGAACGATTTGCATACGTATATACCTAACTGAAGAGTGTTAAGTGATAAAATGACTCAAACCTTTGTGGAGATTTAATATAATATATTCACATACATGCTTATATACATATATGCATTACACTCAGTTAGGTATATGAAAATATACCCTACATTACTTGTACATATCCGTTCCTATGCAATAATATCGTAGCAACGTTAAATATTTTTCATAACGTTATCATATTGTAATGTTCGTGGGTTTAACAAAATTTACTTCTAAGACTGATAACAACAAAACTATTTATTTACACTAATTATTAATATATCACTATCCACTGCGCTATTTATTTCACTGCTATCACTGTCAATTTATTTCTCGACTCACTTCTGCAACGGTCAATTTATTTCTCTTCGGCGATAGTCTCTTCCTTTAAATACTCTTTTGCTTCCTTTCGGGAACCTTCTCGAACCGTCCGGAAAAGTTTCTTTTTCTTTGAACTATTTACCTGCTTTCCCAGAACGCAGGTACGACTCACACACACGTATGCCCGATCGCACACAACACGCTTGTGCTCGCTACAATATCATACGATGCAATATCAGTAAGCCATTATTAGGTAAAAACTTCTTTGCACAAGATCATTGCCATCCTTATAACGAAAACATGGACCACGATCAATCAAAATCATAGATTACAATTAATAAAATTGATAAATCACGAATGTTAAGTAGATATTATATAATTTTTTTGGAATATTATTTTTTACAAACCCTTCTTTTACGAATCAGAACAGTAATCTATTTTAATAATGTCAGTCGCCCTACCTATAGAAGTTATTTGCGATGGAACATTTTCGAACAAAAAGGAATTTCCGGTAAATTAAATTTTTCCGCCTCAAGATAAAGTGCATGGAATTTTCGACCAATGTTTGNCATCATCATATTATTTATTATTACTTAAATTTAATTCGACTTACAAAATTAATTCTTAAAATGATGAAACAAGTAAGATTATCCTATCCCAGCGACAGTTCAATAAATACCTAAATCTAATTATTTATTTTTCTTCTTCAACATAATATCCCAGAATAATCTCGTTATGTTCCAGTTTATCATCTCTTCATTTTCTTGCATTATATTATTTTCAATACCCTCTTCCAGTACATGCATCAGATTCCTCATTTTTCCACAAATTGGATTTCTCTTCGTTCTTTTTCATTCAATACTTACACCTCTTATTAAATTAATTTCCCATTCCAAACATGACTATTATATTATAAGTCTCCTTAAACCTGTTCCTCATAACAATGCTTCGATGGAAATTTCTTAAATCCCCCTTTACCTCCTTATCAACTCATTATCATTTTTCTCCATTCATCCACTTGCCCAAGACATAACACTATTATTACTTTTAATAATTTTCCTTTTCTTCGTCATATCTTTAAAATCCTTCTCGCATTATTTGTTTTTTTATAATTCACTCCTTAAAATCTATACGCATACAGTAGGGCTTGGGACCGGCGAATTTTGACGTACCTAGTAACCAATCGTCGTTATTAACAATTTCGGAAACACATGCTGCAATAATTGTGGTTCTGCTGACCGTATGGTAATTGCAATTAATGTCAAAAAAGGCAATTAAGGGTTGGCAACTTTGCCGACCGAAGTGCCGTCGCACGAATGTATCTAATCTATTGCAGTAATAAAAATATGACGTTATATTCGAGCTTCCTGTAGTCATTATCCCGAGCTTTTTAGCGTTAGTTTGTATGGTAAATTAGAGGATCTAAAAAATAAAAACTGACGTTATATCAGCGTTGTCATTATAACCGATATCTTATAAATTGCACTATACATTCAATGCAAAGATTCAAGATAATTTGTCAATGACAAAAGACAACTGGATATAGAATAGGCCCCATCACCTTTAATAGCTTACAACTTCCAATTTCATAATAAGAACTAATTATTATCGTAATAAATGCTGGTGTGGTGCCAAAAAAAATATTTCGTAAAGCGAATGCAGACAGGGAGGTTAGCATTCAGCCTATATATGGTTGACAAGTTTGGTAGCCTTTAGTTTCCAAGACCGCGTTCCGCTCTAATTTCCTCCCTTATACCCGGTCGTCCTTCGTTCCTTTTTCTCTTACTCCTTGTGCACATAGAAGAGACGTAGTAGAACACTCACCGTCGGCAATATCAATAGAAGTTGGCCATTAAAGGGCTTGTAATGTGCTTACGGCGCCCGCATGTTATGAATATGATGCATTGTTACACCAGGACCAACCGGAGCCGAGATATTAAGGTCGTATTTCTCTTCCCTAACAACTTTTGTTATCGTAATGCCTTCTTCGAGGCGCGAGGGGTACGCTTAAGAGATTTGCGATTTCATTTTTTGTGTAAACACATCGCCCGGGCTCTTACGGAAAGAATACCTCGTCGTCGGAACGATTTCAATTACTTGGAGAGGCGCACTCTCCCCATCGCAGCCGCCTCCGTCATTCCTACCACCTTACCGCCTCCGTCGCCGACATACCATCAGCTACTACTTCTACCGACTACCTACTACTACATACTATTATCACGTACTCTGCCACGTATTGAAGCGTCGCGGCGCGAGGGCGAATGCTTTCTGGTGCAGTGCGAATTGCCCACCGTTAACCGTTTTAAGAGGAATTCCAATAAGTTCTCGTTCAAAAAGGATCAGCTGCAGATGAAAATTGCACTACAGATCCGTACTTAAAACATAATTAACTGTCATTAATAGCGCACATAAATATCTGAAATAAGTATTCGGTTTAACACCACATTCATTCCTTTCATGTATTAAATAAAATTAGAAAAATGAATGGGAAACGAAATATGCGATATTACACTAATAATTTTGTTTTTTAATATGTTTTTTGGAAGACACTAAATATCTGAAACGCATACGACAATTTTTTCTATTTAGTATTAAAATGTAGTAAAGTAAACTCCTAGCAAGAAGGAGTTAGAGATAGCTTTAAATAAAATGAATACAGTACTGACAAAACAGCACTGTATGAAAATAAATAAAAGTCAAACAAAAATATTGGTATGTAAGGGAAGAAAAAATAGGGAAAGAGCAAATCGAAAATAGGAGAAGAAGTAGCCGATTTCAGGTATCTAGGAAGTCAGATAAGTCAGGACAAAAACAGTAGTATGGATATAAAGCAGAGGATAGCGAAGGGTCGTGTCGCCTTCTTCCGCTTCTATGTTCGCGAACTGCTAATTAAGAAATTCGAAAAAGATTGTTAAAGGTGTATGTTTTGGGCGCGGCCCTGTACGAGTGTGAAACATAGACAATAGGCGCGGCGGAAAAGAAGAAGTTAGAAGCGTTCAAAATGATGAGGATACCATGGATAGAGAAGGTTAGAAATGAAGAGATATTAGAAAAAATAGGAGAACAGAGTCCTCTATGGAAGTCAATAAGAAATAGGCAAGATAAGTTAGCAGGACACCTCAGGCATGAAGGTCTAGTCAGAGACATATTAGAGGCAGAAACGGGAGTTAGGAGGGGTAGACTTAGATTAGATTACCGTTCGCAAATAGTTAAGGATGAGGGTTGTTCTAGTTTTAGGGAAATACGAAGATTAGCTCAGGATAGGAAAGAGTGGAGGTGCGTGTCCAACCAGTCTTAGGACTGACGACCTTATGATGATGAAAGCAAACTGAAAATTTCAAACACCTACTAAAAACGTTTTTTTCCTAGAAAAGAATATGTTAAAGTTGCAAATTGCTTAACTCATAAATTCACCGGAAGTAATAATTTTTCGTTTAATCATGGGTATTTGTTCATGGTCTTATTCGTTCGGTTTTGGTTTTAGTGCTAGTCTTCTTCTTCGTTCGGTCTTGGTCTTAGTCTTGCTAGTATAAGAGTCTAAAACCAAGACCAATTTTTGCTCTTTACTAGTCCCTTACTACTATTGGCTTGTGATACACGAAACATTCCCGCTTGACTTGTTTGATAACACAGTGAATTTCTGCATGTTTTCTTACTATCCCCACGAGGTACGCTGGTATAATAACCCATTATCAAACCTTTAAGGAAAAATATATCGGACATTTCGGATGGCACTTTGGCGTTAGTGTTTGATCTTTTTATTAGTGTGTTCTAGAACAACACCATGAAACTTTTCATGATTGACCACTGTCAAAAGTTTCAATTTCAAAAATGTACACGAATCATATTTTGAACTGCGACCGGAATGTGTGTGTAATTTAGTTATTATTATCTAATAAATGTCCGAAATGTTTATGAGCGTCATAAACTAAGTTTTGTTGTTAGATTAATTAATTCTAAAGTACATACTTTAGGGACATACCTCGAAATACAGGACCTCTGGAAACACTATGAAATTAGTTAAACTGTAGTATTTAAAACAATTCCAATTTAGTAAGAAATAAGTACCTACCTAGTCACACTGTGATAACGCTATTCTATTCTCAAATTCAAGTAAAACTCAAAACTATTTATATTTTATGATCATTAATAATAACAGTTTCTCTTTTACTTTTGGAAGCCACTTATTGTTATAATTCAATTTTTAATGATTGGATCTTGTATTTTAGTGATCAGCATTTAAATCCTTCTTGACAGTACGTAAACATTCATCATCAAAAGGTCGTCAGTCCTAAGACTGGTTGGACACGCACTTCCACTCTCTCCTATCTTGAGCTTATCTTCGCATTTCCCTAAAACTAGAACAACTCACATCCTTAACTATTTGCAAACAGTAATCTAATCTAGGTCTACCTCTACCCCTCCTAACTCCTGTTTCTGTCTCTAATATTTCTATGAATAGACCTTCGTGCCTGAAAAGGTATCCTACTAAACTATCTCGCCTATTTCTTGTTGCCTTCCATAGAGTCCTTTGTTCTCCTATTCTTTCTAACACCTCTTCATTTCTAACCTTCTCTATCCACAGTATCCTTATCATTCGCCTGTAACCACATTTCGAATGCTTCTAACCTTTTCTTTGCGTCACGCCCACTGTCTATGTTTCGCACCCGTATAGCGTCGAGCTCCAATCATACACCTTTAACAACCTTTTTCGAATTTGTAAACTAAACGTTCGCGAACATAGAAGTTACTTCTTTTTATATCCCTACTACTCCTTCCGTCCTGACTTATCTGACTTCGTAGATACCTAAATTCGGCCACTTCTTCTATTTTTCGTCCCTATCTTTATATTAAACATTAGTGTTTAAATAAACACAAACTGAATTAGAGTAGAGTACTATTCCGGCGGGCTAGAACAAATTTCCGAATTTGCTTTTCTTATGACATTTCTCCAAATAATAAACCTTCTCCAAGTATAAAACGCTACGCGTGGAAATTTAGTGTTAACATTGAACAAATAGAAAAACGAATTTGTGTACCTAAAGAATTATCGCCTATTTCTGGAAGCATTGATTGCTTTAGTTTGATATCCAATTTATGGCTATGGTTTGAGTGTTGTATAGATAACTTACGTCAACCGCTACTCCAGGTAATGGAAATACTTGTGCAGGGGGCATATCTCTGGGGACGAATCGATAAAATTCGTTTCCATCTTTATACCACTTGACTGAATATAGGGTTTCTCCCTCAAGGTCGTAATGACATTCCAGTCTGACGTTTTGATTCTTTACTGCGTACATTGGTATCTTAAGTTCCAACAATCTTATGCTAATGGCACCTGAAAAAAAAAATAAAAAATTATTACTATCGGAAAGAAAGGAAAAGTGGGAGCAGATAACCCAAAGCTAACATTAACGTAACCAACTGTATAGAAAATATATAAATTAGATTTTTCTTTGTTTCTCATTTTCGCTACTACTTTTCTTTGTTTTAGAAAATAAATCTTAGACTAGTTGTAGTAGAGAGGAAATAAAGCTCAAGAATAGGTCAAACCTTCGAATTTTTGTGCAGTAAGTCCAAACGAGATGTGGTTTTTTGTGTTCGATTTGTGAGACCGTCTACAGACTTTGTGAACATAATAAATTGATCAATTCATCTTCAAAAATGTATCGGTGCATATAAAAAAATACAGTCTTGTAAGTGCATTGCAAAGTTATTATAAAAAAGTCAATAATGATAGAAATAACTCTAATTTTGTTATTCAGGGCCCGAGTAAAAATAAAAAGAATTATAACACCACCGAATCGCCTCCAAATATCTGAAATGACCAAAATTACCATCGAAATAGTTCCTACAAATTAGACGAAAATTTAAATTCTAAAATTACACCCAAAATACTACCCTTTGATATTCTAAAACAGCTCCAAACTAGCACCACATTAATAAAGATCCGAAAGAGCTCTCAAACAGCGCCTCGCCAAAAAACTATACTATAATAGCACCATAACAGCATCACATTCAAAATCATCTAAAATAGTTCCAAAACGTAACGTATATATAATGAAACTATTGATTAATTAATAATAATTTATCAATGAGATATTTAACATTTTATTTATTTTAAAAATAAAAATAAAATTAACTTTTTACTAAAACCAATGTAATGTTAATGAGAATTTATTAATTACAGTATGAATATATATATATACATTGACATTTTAGTGTCACTTTAGTGCTGTTTCGGTGCCTTTTTAGTATAAATGCGTCTCTCTTTCGGTGGTATTTCAGCAGCTTTCTACAAAGCAATCGGTGCTGTATCCGTGTTCTTTTCGTACTAAATGCGGTAGTGTTTCAGTACTCTATTCGTACACAATCGGCGGTTTAGTCCTGCAAACGGACCTTTTCCGGTTATATTTTAGAGAAATTTATGGAGCTAGTTTGGTCGTAATGCGGTAGAGTGAAATTGAAAAGAATAATTTTTACTCGGAGGGGTTTTGAAGATCTCTGAACACGAAAACGCAGTCGATGACGGCCTCCGAAGTACCTGGCAACCCAACCGTCATACACTCGTCTCCAGGAGTTGTTTTAAATTCATTAAAAAAATCAATTAAAATAATTTACTTGGGAGTTTTGAGAGTCGCTGAATACGAATATAGAGTCGGCGACGAGCGAGTTACAAAATTCATTTATAACAACTTTCTAATGCACATATAAGACTGCATTTTTCTTATGTAGCGATGCATTTTTGAAGATGAATTGACCCCAACTTATGTTTACAAAATTTGTAGATGATCTCACCAATCAAATACAGAAAACCACATCTCCAACCGACTTACTGAGCAAATTTCGTATTCGGAATCCTCGACTAAATTTCAAAACAGGGCAACTAGTTGCGGACATGGATGAAGCGAATAGAATTTACATTGAAATATTGACGTAGGACGGAATTTACGTACGCTGCTACAAATAGATACACCAATTTCTGAGCAAAAAGGGGTGGCCTTATTTCGTTTTGCCTCTTCGACGAACTTAGTCCGGCACTGTGGGCAACCTTAACTAACCATAACCTAACCTGTAAGAGGTGTATAAGATAAGCGGTATCAAATGAAGGGTACATTGTGTCTGTATGTGTAGAAGACTCAAAAATGTCACCATTAATTTGGGGTAATATATAGAGGATGGAAAGTTAGTTTCAGTTTAATGTTTAGTAGAAATCAAATAGATATATATCAAAATCACTTAAGTAGATATTTACAGAAAGAGGTAATTAATTGAATTGAATTGAAGAATTGATTTTTTTTATCGCAAGTGAAAGTACTTTACGTTGGTGTAATTCTATTCATTCTCTTTTTTTTCTTTTAGAATTACAAGGAAGAAAGCATAAAAGGTTTTTTGCCTGAGCTTTCAGTTAAATCCAGTGTACAATTACCATTTTATCCTTACGTAAAACCCTACTAAAATTACAAGTTCCCTTTAGGTAGAAAACGTATTAAAATATCTTGTTTCGTGCACTAAGACTTCCGCCGATGTTAATCCACGGAATGGACTTAAAATAATCGCCTTTATCTTCTTTCAATTAAGCTAGATTATCAGCGCCTTCGTTGGGAAAAAAAGAAGTAGAAACAATAAGGTTAAAAAGGAAAAGAACTAAACTGAACACAATTCTATCCTTTAATGCTTCCATTCGTAGCTTTCGACTTTTCGGCGTTCTTTTCTGACCTTATTGCGTTTTGTATTGACTGCAACTGTTAATTACTTCCATGTGCTAACTCGGCTCTCTTACCATGAACAAAAAGTCGAAGAAATTTTGCTCGCAACGATTGAAACTCTGTTCGTCGACGGTTAAATTGAAGTTCTTTAGAAAATATTTACCCACATCTAATACTCCAAGACATTACACCGAAAGGTATTTAATTTGAACTGGAAGAAACAAATTTTAGGAACTATGTAGACAGTCAGTGCTTTCATTTACAAACAAAAACGATATTGTTGGAATGTTCATAAAACTTTAGCAATATCAAAATAGTTTTTTTATGATACAATACCAAGACGTACCCAAAGCAATTTAGAAATATGTAAGTCTAACCACTATTTACCAATATAAATGCCGACTAGATTTTTTTCTGATTTAAAATCTCATGAGCATTGAATCTTTTGGTTTTTATATTTCAACATCTCTACAAAGTTTATACATTTTTCCTGACTTTGCTCCAATGGGACGATGTCCATTATTGTATGCGACTCAATTACTTTTCCTCGTTGAGACATTGAGGAAGTCATTGTCGAGAGACACGAAAGACAATTTCGACTGGTCACCTCAGTTGTGAATGAAATGTCAGGAAGTAGGTAATTTCAATTGACCTAGGTTTTCAAGCTCGGAAAATTTTTCTACATTTACTTTGACTGGCCGTGAAAGCCTAATACATAGTCTGGTCATCACGACAATAATTGAAGCCCGATCTAGCAATTTAGCCGGTAAAGATTTTAGGAAATTAAGAATTTACATCTAAAATAGTAATTTAAGAAAAACATAAAAAATATTTTTTTGTCTGGCTGCTGTCATATTGTCGGGCAGCTGAACACTGTAATTTTTATAAGATTTTTTCTCGGTGCAAGCGTCTGACACTTTCAATTTAGCCGCCCCTCATTTTTACCGCACTGGGTATTTTCGCGGGCCAGTCCCTCCTTCAATTCCATAGACGTGGTCATTTTTTTATATTCGCCATTCAAATATTGTAAGTTGACGTATAGGCCCATCGTTTATAGTCTTACCCTTCTGAGGGTAATCAGTAATCAAGAAAATGTCTTTGTATTCCAAAAAATTTGAACCATTAATACCTTCTACACGGTGATCAAATTGTTTGGTGTTGTTTGGGGTTGGTTCTCATAGTTCTGTTCATTTTTTTGACTGTTCATCGTTACTTTCAGAATTTCATCAAAAATTATGAATTGTCGCAAAGTATTGGTTTAAGTTCTGCTTGTACAAAGGTAAATTTTCAATCTTGCGGCACAAGTAAATTGTAAATTGACATTTTGACAGTTTTAATCAACTATCCTCTATGTCTTTCTATTGATGAACTTGTCTTGCTACTCTCAATATTCAGTTACGTAGTCAAACAACATGTTTTATTAAATTAGGGTAAAAGGTTTTGTGTTCTTATTTAAGTAATAAATATTACTACTCCTGCCCCGCACAATCAAAAATACATAATACGGATGTTACTATTCAATATCGTATTCATATTTAATTTCACTGGTATTTTATTCTCCAGTGAGGGTCAACATTTTAATATTCGGTTATCCACACCTTTTTCCTTCTAAAAGATATTTTGGAAATTCTGTATTTCAAGGAATATATGTGTAAACGTCTGTTTTTACCGTTGGATAAACGTATTTGATTCTTCCATTTCGATTTTCTACTTTAACGTCATTTTATACACAAGGACGTAGAAAGAGGCACTTTAAATGTTTCAAAATAACAAAGAAGTCGGTAGTAGAGTCTTATTAAGTACGCATATACATGTCTCAAAAAGATGTAAACAAGGAAAACTCAAACGACAAAAAAGCAGCTATGACTTGAAATACAAAAAGAAATCATAAATCCTATAGTGAGTTAACAGGGATACTGTAACCGAAAACGAAACTGAGACGTCTATAGTATATAGATACAGTAGAATCCGCTTATAATGACATCGAAGGAAACTGACAAACACGTCATACTAAGTGGGCGTGATACAAAGCGTAGTCCTAGAAAATAAACAACATTCTATTTTGGTTAGTTATTTAGTTAAATAGAGAAAAACTACAAATTGTATATATTTATTAACAGAAAAAGAAAAAGAACGATGAATTGTAATATCAGTATACATAAGAAGGGTCAGAAAAATGAGCGAAAATGTTATTATTAATCATTTGGGTCACTATA